TTGCTTCCCTCCTACCCCTTCCCCTCCCCCTCGCTCCCTCACGATTGCCTCCCTCAACCCCTAACACCCTTCTGCACATCCGGCAGGTGGGACTATGGGGCCATCCTGCTGGCTGACGAGCGCTTTGCGTCGCAGCAGAACCAGCGGCAGCTGTCAGGGTGGCTCAGGCAGCACCTGGTGGCCCACAGCAGCTTCGGGGCCGCAATTGGATCCCTCACAAAGTTCTTCAAGGTGCGCTGGTGTTGGAGTGGGTTTTTTAAAACAGGGCTTCAGAGGCAGCCTCCACCCAACATTACGCTCCTCCACTTGAATTCAGAAACCGCAACACCCATGCACGAAAGGGGGGCGCTAGCCAGGGGACAAAGGTTGACAGCCAATCATGTTTTTCACCGAGGGTTGCATTCGGCTGACGCGTGGCACTGGGTTGCGAGGTACCCCTTGCTTGACACGCCTCCCTGAAGGCACCTGCCTCGGCCAGCTATTGCGAAGCGCCCGCCAAGCCCTGTCGCGCACATCCCACCAACAGCGCGTTCATGTCGTTTCCGCTGCCACCCCGCGCCCTGACACACACACCCACCCAGGACAAGGCCTCTTTTGCGCCGCCCCCGGAGGTGCTGCTGAAGCAGCAGCAGCGCGAGCAGCAGCAGCGCCGCCAGGCGGGGCAGCGCGTCAGCGCCTTTGAGATGCTGCACGCGGGCGGCGGCGCGGGAGGGGGCAGGGCCAGGGGACTGGGTGCGGCGGGGCCGGGGCCGCTGGCGGCACCCAGGGCTATCGACGTCAGCGGCTTCGCAAACTTTGCGGACGCGCAGGCAGCAGCTGCCGCTGCGGCCGCGGCTGCGAGCGTACGTGCACTCAACGGCGGCAGCGGGGGTGGCAGCAGCGGCAGCTTGCTAGGCGGCGGCGGCGGCGGGGCAGCGCGGCGGGACGGCGGCGTGCTCGGGGGTGGCGGCGTGCTGGGCGGGAGCCAGGCAGCGCCCGTGCCTCGCCGGCCCCCTATTGCCATCGAATTCGAGGGGCCTGGCCCCCGCTCTGCGCCGCTGCCCGCAGTGGTGGGCCCTGCCCACCTGGTGAGGACTCACAGCGACAGCAGGGGGGCAGGCGGCGGCAGTGGTGGTGGTGGTGCTGCTGGTGGTGGTGGTGGTGGTGCCGGCAAGGGGGGCCTGCGAATGGGGGCGTTTCTCCGCACCTGGAACAGCACACAGCTGCAAGGCGAGCAGGAGGGTGCAGCACAGCAGCAGCAGCAGCAGCAGCAGCAGCAGCAGCGGGGTCATACCGAGAGCGATCAGCAGCGGCATCAACAGCAGCAGCAGCAGCAGCAGCAGCAGCCGCGACCGGCAGGGTTCGACACCGCCATCTGCGGGTCAAACCAGCTGGCGGCCACAAGAGGGGCAGAAACGGCAGCGGCAGCAGCAGGGGTGACAGGAGCGGCAGCAGCAGCAGCAGCAGTAGGCGCGGACTCCGGGGCGGACGCAAACGCAGGGGCGGGCACCGGCGAGGGTGATGAGGCTGGGGCTGGGACGGGGGCGGCGGCGGACCCGAGGGCTTTCATGGCCAAGCTGCGGCGCGAGCTGTCTGACGCCGACTTTGGTGTGGTGCGGCTGCTGCTGGGCGACTACAAGTGAGTGCGCTGTGGGGGGGGGCAGGCGGACTGGCGGAGGGAGCCGGTTGAGGCGGTCACGGTGGGGTGCGAGGCCGCCTGTGTGGGCTTGATCAAAGAGGCAGTCCGGAACATATTGAGAGTCGCGTCCATCGTCCAGCGTCCGCCGTCCCGCGCTCCCCGCGCCATCCCCTGCCCCACCCCACCACCACCCTGGAACGACCCGCGGCATCGCTGCATCCTTCCTCCCGCCACCAACCTCCCTTCACCGCCCCCTACCGACCCCGGCCCTGAAGGCGGTCCCGTGACGTCAGCGCCCTCATCGACGGCGTCATAGCCGCCCTGCGCGGCCCAGCCACGTGCCACCTGCTGGCGGGGCTGGCGGCCTTCCTGCCCTCAAAGGACCGCGACTGGTACTGCGCCACAGTGGCGGAGCACTTCCAGGCAGCAAGCAGCCAGGGCGCGCGTGCCGCAGCCGACGGCGGCGGCAGGGGTCCCGGCGGTGGCGGCAGCGGACGCCCTGGCAGCGCGGGGCATGCGGTTGCGGGCCGCTCTGCGCCGCCTGTGGAACGCCCAGCGGCTGGTGGGGCACCAGCAGCTGCGGGCAAGCGGGCTCCGGACGGCACAGTGGGAGTTGTGGACACGGCCAAGCGCCTGCGGACGGCGCCTGCCGCCCCTGCCCAGGCGCCTGCCAGTGAGGGAGCGGCACTGCGCCATCCCCACCACCACCACCAGCAGCAGCATCGGCAAGAACAGCTACAGCGGCCACAGCAGCAGCAGGTGGCACAGTCAGGGCCGGGTGGTGTTGGCCAGGGGCCGCTGTCTGTTGATGCGTTCCTCTCGCGGCTCAAGGACTCGGGCAGGCCGCGACAGCAGCCACCAGCAGCAGCCCAGCACAGGCCCTCAAGCCAGCAGCAGCAGCAGCTACCGGGCCAGCGGGCGATGGGGAGCGGCAGCGGCCAAAGCCTCGTGAGGATGCCGGGCAGCTCAGGCGCCGCCACTGGCGCAGTCGCCGGGCGCGTTCCGAGCACGGGTAATGTCGGTCCCCAAGGCGCTGGTGGTCGCGGGCACGCAGGTGGTGGCGGCAACATGGAGGCTGGCGCCCGTAGGCCGCAGCAGCAGCAGCAGCAGCAGCAGAAGCAGCAGCAGCGTGCGCCGCCACCAGCCGTGATTGGTGCGGGTCCCAAGCCGTGCGGCGTGTGCGCCAAGGCCCCCATGGAGGCCCCCCACCGCGCGCCGTGTGGGCACCTTGCCTGCTACCCCTGCTGGCTGGGGCTGCTGGCCGCCAGCATGCGCGGTGCCAAGTGCCCCTGCTGCAGCCGGGAGGTGCGGCGCGCGCAGCTGGCGTCAGTGCCCTTTGCGTGAGCAGGCGCACTCGCGCTTCTCCTCACGGAGCCTCACCGCGTGAATTGGCTGCTCTAGCTTTTGAACCAGTGAAAACGGCATGTGCTTGTTGCTGATAGGCCCCGCAATGGGCTTTGTAAATGTGCCATCCAAAAGCACATGGGATGTGGTTACTCTCACCGACATGCTGCATGCAGCTGCAGGATGGCTCCTGTGACGCAGCAGCGGGTCCTCCCTGCAGCCTCCCAGGCACCCGCCAGCGCTGCAATCACCCTTCCTGCAACAAGTGCAGACTTGATCAGCAGGATTTCAACCCTGGATACTTGCCATGACGGGCTTGCACTATCCTGTGCACCTCCATGCCACATCAAGGGCAAGCAAACAAAATGTTGATATTGTGCCCCAACAACTTTGCTGATCCCCCACTGTTGCCTTGAAACATTGCGCCGTCGCAGCCCCTCTAAGTGTCTCGCGCCTCCTCCCGCCGAGCCGACTCCAGCTTGAACGCCTCAACACGCTCGGCGAGCGCGTGAACCGCCGCTGGCCCCGCGGGCGCCGCAGCTGCTGCCGCCCCAGCCTCCCCGCCGCGGCCGCCGCCCTCGTACTCGCGCCCTCCGGCTGCTGTCGCGGTCATGGCCGCGACCTCTGGTGGCAGCACCAGACCGGGGTTGTCCGCCAGGTAGCTGCACACGGGGGCGAGGGTGGGTGCGGTGGGGGGGGGCAGGAGCGCGCACACAAGTTTCAGCAACAGGTATGGAAGGCGCTGCTTGCCAAAGGCAGCCGATTAGGGGGGCCTGGGTCCAAGCGCCAGGCCTGGAAGGGCATGCAGGCACAGCATGGACGCCAGGATAGATAGGCGGCAGGCCCAATAATGGCCTGGGCCGCAGTTTGCTGGGTGCGCTCACAGGCGCCTCAGCCCCGTGAGCTGCGCCAGCTCCTTGGGCAGTGTGGTGAGCCGGTTGCTGTTCAGGTAGAGCTCCTTTGGGGGGGCAGAACGAAGAGGGGGGAGATGCAGGAGCAGCGGAACAGCGGCTCAAAGATGGCACTCTTATCAGTTAGAGGTGTGAGTGCAGCTTGGCGCGCCACGATTTGCAACCACATGCGCTTGCGCAGACTGCGTCCCTTGGGGGCACCTGCAGCTTGTCGCAGCCAGCTATGGCGGGCGTGAGCTCCACCAGCACGTTGCGGTCCAGCCACAGCCGCTGCAGCTGCTTCAGGCGCCCGATCTCGGGCGGGACGCGCTCCAGGCGATTCTCATACAGCCACCTGCCAGGTTGGATGGGGGCGTGCATGGGCGGCCGCATGGTCATCCACCCACCAAGGGCAGGGGTCGCTGGTGGGGTAGCGTCACACCAGGGAGGACGTTTGGAAGACCCGGTTGTGATGGACGGATGGTGGGTGCGGAAAATAAGAGCAGATTTAACAAGTCAAACAAGGGTCAAACGCGGGTCAAACGGCGGCACCGTTGCGGCCACCCACAGCTCCTGCAGGTGCTGCATGTCTCCGATCTCCGGTGGCAGCCGAGTCAGCGCATTCTCATACAGCGCTAGCCGCCGCAGCAGCCGCCAGCCCGCGAAGATGGGCCCCGGGACGCTGACGAGGCGGCACTTGAACAGCGACACCGCCTCCATGCGCGTGACGCCGCCCAGCTCAGCGGGCAGTGACTCGATCTAATGAGGACAGCGGCATTGGGCGCGAGCAGAGGGTAGCGGTGTATGTGGAACTGAGAGAAGTATGGCTGATGGTCGCCGTCGACAGACGCACGTCATGGTGGGGTTGGGGCAATTTAGGTAGGGGATTGTCAGCAACAGGCGCGGCCTGAAATTTGCCCTCCTCGTGCTGCTCCCCAGCCGGGTCCTGATCCCAGCTGCAGCGTCAAGGGCCGCAGCTCTCTTGTGCGACTCACCCCATGCCACACTGCTGCCCTCCCGCCGTCTGCTGTCCCGTACCCACCGCAGTCGCCCTCACCTCGAGCATGTGCAGTGAGAGGCGCGTCATGTTGGTCAGCAGCCCCAGCTCCGCCGGCACAGTCCGCAGCTTGTTGGCGTGGAGCGACAGCCACAGCAGGCTGGTGCAGCCCCCAATCTCTGGGCAGGGCGCAACAGCAACGCGCCAAATTGGCAGTGTGTGCAGGGAGGGTGCCGTTGTGTGGCGATGAGTGTTTTTTGGGGGGGGGGGCGATACGGGGGACAACAAGCAGCACGCCTCAGCAGTCACGGACAGCGGGGACCACCCTGACCGAGGTCATCGCGCGTGGCGCCTGCACCGCATCCTTCAAAGCCGTGCGGCTGCCCTAGGCCCATGATACCCCGGCTCCATGATCCCCGTCGCGCCTCTGTTTCCAGCCTCATCAACCTCCCCAGAACGTCCACCACCACCACCACCACCATCAATCACATACACAAGCAAGTACACAGACACACAGGTACACGAGCGCACGTACGCACAAACACACACGAACTTTGCACGGCACACACGCGCGCAGCACGTGTACACACCTTCCGGCAGCTGCTCCAAGGCATTGAAGTGCAGCGACAGGTGGCGCATGCGCGACAGGCGGCCCAGGTCTGGCGGCACTGCCGCTATGTTGTTGCTGTGGAGGTCGAGGCGCGTGAGGCTGCTGCAGCGGCCGATGGCGGGCGGCAGGGACGTGAGCTTGTTCTCAGACGCGTCCCTGTGGGAGGGGCGTCCAGGGAG